CAACGTTTTGATCTTTATTAAGATCATATGCAGAAAACATACACTTGGAGTGAGTAGAAATACTTTGATTGAATAAAAGAAAATATTAAAAAAATATATTTTTTCCATTGTATAAATTCACTTTTTTTTCCACATCCTACATGCATTTGTTAAAATTAAACAATGTTTGTAAATCCCAGGCCCTGAAGATGATCTCAATAAAGATCGAAACGTTGGCACGATAATGAAAATGTTTTTCTGAAACCTGTATCACACCAGAAGGCATCTTACGATTTTCGAATAATTATTGACTAACGGGTCACTAATCACCACACATTTCCTCTTTACATTTTTTGATTAATTTTATTTTTTATTATATTTTTGACGTCTTTGTCAGGTATGTCGACCATATTGTTTGCATAGTTGAGAAGGGGAATCCAGCCCGGACCAACTTTATAAACCTATTAAAATGTGTTTTACCGTTAATTAAATAAATACATAGACACAGGAATAAATAAAAAGGCAGACGAGGCGGCTATGTACCAACCTCCGGACTTAACCACCGGGATCCGGTCCTCTGACGCTAAGAATGCAATAAAAATCTGATGGAAAGAAAGTGGCAAAGTGGTTATCCTAGCCCGAGTAAAAATAGGCCATGCGAGGTTTACACACTGACACTTACTTTGGGGCCAAAACCAGCGTATGTGTCCGGCATGGAGAGAAAGGTTGTTCGATACGTCATACCTAATCGAAGTGAGATTCCTTGGTTACATGCAGCGCGCAGAAATGCCACCCAATTTGAGAATTGTGCTTGAGCACGGCACGGATTATTTTGTGACTCCTGTTCCGATTCTTGGAGGAGACGGGGTGGTTCGGTGGTATATAATAATAATAGTTGCGTATACCTACCATGTGTTAAGAGTTAACTTATTTATTAGCGTGAGTGTGTGATGTGACAGGGTCGATGGCGGAATATCGAGTACCACATCGACCCTCAATTATGTAGGGTACCTATAGGTTAGTTGTATAATATGTGTAAAAGATGATGGAGGAATATCGAGTATTACACCGCCCTAATTGAATGAATGGTATGTAAATAGGAGTGGGTGTATTTACGAATGAATGCGAGTACGAATGGGTTTGGAACTGCATGCGTTGGGTGCTGAATTGACCTAGCTGTAGATCGCACCTCCTTCCGAACGATGAATAAATCATTACATAAAGATATTCTCTATTTTTGGCGGCCAAGAATTTTCAGCCTTAAAGCCTTGTGCACCTGGAAACGGTTTTGGTCCTGAAAACATTTGCTTAACGGAGGGACGACTTTTGGAAAGATGGCTTTTAGGTCTACCCTTTCCCTTTCAAAAAGTCTACAATTCAAGAGAGAATTTTATGGCCCACGTTATCATCGGTATCGCATTCGGGACATAAAAGGCTTTTGAACCTTTTGAATTTAAAGAGGTATGCCAAGAAGATGTCATGGCCGGTCAAGGTTGCGTCCGGTGATACACAGGATCCTCATTGTAAGCAGTGGAGACACGCAATGTCTAGTCAATTGTTTATGAATCCCGAGCGCTGTCTTTTTTGGGATGTTCCCTCAGCCTTTGCATATTTTAACATATTTTAGCATGATGGCAACTTTGCTTTGGAGGTATGTCAATCGGCTGGGCATATTACTGGAGTGCAAGGGTTGATGTCCTGTTGGCCTGGTGCTTCTTAGCAAAACTATCCTCTGCTTTGTTCCAGGATACTTTTGCTTCAACTTTTCAACTTTAGTTCGTTAGACGACCGTCTGGCGCTTTCGGTAGATATACGCTGTTATAAACAATCGCTAGGGCTTTTGGTCTCAGTCTCCATGTCGCTTGTGCAATTCCGCCCAATTCGCAGGCTTTGCATCGTGTTGCTTCTCTCATTTTGATATCTTAATCAGCTGTACTGAGTTTTTCTCCAAGCTTTATCACTATATATTTAACTTTGCCGTATGTTTTATCGACTTTCTTTCTAACTTGATAGTGGGAGTAGTAACAAGTTTACCTTTGAGCATGAGCTTACGGCATTTATCGGGAGATATTTTCAATTTTACCTCACTGCACCATTTGATTATTTTGCCTATTAAATTTTGAAGGTTTTGAACTTTTCTTCGAGTTTTTTTTTTTTTTAACTAAAATAATGTTTATGAGGTCTTCGACGAAAGTCACAAAGTCAGGATTTCAAGGAGACTATTGAAGACCACATTCAAAAATAGCGGGCCTAACACAGATCCCTGTGGGCAACCTTTGTAACTTGTAACAAAGGTGTGCTTTGTCGCTATTTCTGCCTTTCTGGGTTCGAAAAAGATTTCGGGGCAGTTTTTTTAGCTCGTTCAAGACAAAAGTCCATTCAATGGAGTCCAAGGCTCCTAAATATCGAAAATAATAGCTAGGGCATATTTTTTCTAGCTTTTTTTCTGTTACGTTATACAATTTGCTTATTGCATCTTCGGTCGATAGTCCTTTCCTTTCTCTATGTGCCTCTTAGTGTCCATTATGGGGCTGAGCCTTGTAATGAGTTTTTCAAAAAAATTTCATAGAACAGGTAATTAGCAAGTTGGCCTGTAGGAACTGGGTTCGTCTTTTGGCTTATTTCCAGACATTAGCAACATCTTAATTCATGCTCTTTTCCATATTTTTCTGAAAAGTATCATAGTTTTAATCATCGAAGGGCACTGTTAGAATCAAGAATATTGGTTTTCTTTAGTCGATTATTTGGTTGTTGATTGAGTCGAACCGGGATGTTTTTTCTTTTTTAAGGAGTCGATCGTCACCTTTACCTCTTCAACTGACCATGAGTTGCTATTTCCATTTGCACTGAAAACTTCTCGAGTTTTTTTTACTTATTTGATATGTTTTAAACCGTTCTCTTTTAAACAACTTTTTAAGAAGGCTGTTGTTTCTTGGCTTGTGACCGTTGTCTTCCGTTTATTCCTATCGATTGTAGGGCTCTTTCTGGCCTTGCACATAAACAACGATGAGCCCAGCTTATTAAATCATAACATGTCTAATAATTCTGGAACAACTCTCTGTATAGATCTTAAAGCATTAACATTCATAGCAGTATAAGGAGGGAAAATCTTTATACTTTTCAACCGCTCGTACATATTTCCAAATCCAGATAGCCAAAATGGTTCAATTTTTTATGAATACAACACATCTAGGACAACTAAAGTTCTTAGAATTAATTAAATAGACTGTTTGTTTTTTGTTTTTATCAAAGAAAATGGTGAAATTTTAAGAGCTGAAAACATCTAAGAGGGTAGTCGTTTAGAGAGTCGAAGTGCGCCTCATACATATAAGATGAGAGTCTTTGCAAAAACTTGTCGCCAGCGGCGGAACGCTGCTGGAAACTCTTTGAGAGTCGACCGGCGGACCTGAAAGTCTTCCCGTCGAGCCGGTTAATTAATTCCTCGCTCATTAATTTAAAAACTTACCTCGTCTCCCAACCTCGCCGCAGATATAAAATATTCCTTAAATATACATCGTTTTTCTCAAGTCCCTACCCCAAGGTTCCTCATACTTTATAAATCTAGTAGATAAAAGGGGCAAAATATTCGAAAAGTTGTGGACCCCCAGCCGTTTCTACAAAAAGTGTTACACCCAGAAAGAACGAAAGTTTTAAAGAAATCATATCAGGACGTACTTAATGTACAATAGACGACTGATTTTGGCGCATATGGAAGATATGGCAACGATCCGTTTATTGTCTATGAGATCATTACTATCACCAATCGCAACGATAACGGCTAAATCAGATTTGCCAAAAAAAAAGTTTCTTTACACCAAAAAAAGTTGTTAGTTTGAAAGCACAACACTATATCTAAAAAGAGTTCATTGCAAATAAATACGTTTTAAAGATAACGAAATATTTTACGAATATACTTGTATTGGGCTGTCCGGAAAAATGCAGATTTTCATGTTTTCATTCAATTATCTCTCTAAACAATAAATTGTCTACGTTTGATGGATTATTCTTTCGTACGAATGTCAACACTTTTTAATCCTCTTCCAAACAAAAATGTTTGGTTACCTCAGAAGCATTTCGTTACTTGGGAATAATTCAGTTTTACTTAGATGCCAATGCGTGATTTTCGCTAATTTCGTTTTACGAGTTAAAAATCGGTCGCAACAGTGGCCAAACGGCCAAAAACATTAATGAAGTCTGGTGTGATGGCAGTGTGAATCAGAGCACCCACCAGAGATGCATTATAAATTTTCGGGAGGGAGATTTTAGCCTTGAAGAGGAAAAAGATCGTGGAAGGATTTCTTCGCCAGATGGTGATGTTCTGCGACCTTTGGCCGAAGAAAATGCCAATTCGAGAACTTGCAGAGAATCTTTCAGTTAGCAATTTCTAAGAATAAGTGTCTGATTTGATTAATTTTGGTTTTGTGTCCGATTATGTAGTCCCTATCCAATTCGATTGTTTTTGGAGTCTAAGGAAGCTTTTTTTGTCATTTTTCAATCCCGCTCGTGACACTGACTTTTTTATCTCAACTAAAAATCTTAATTAATTGAATGATATTAATTGGTCAAGCGGACCACGAAAACTAGTGAATTTAATGAGTTAAAATGAAGTATACCTTCACTAAAGCTCTCTGTGGCCATTTCTTTTGTTGCGAGAATCAAATAGATTACACGACATTTGAAAAATGGCAAAATGGAGGGAAAATTCAAAAGATGGGGTTGAGATGGGAAGTTAGTGTCCGAGCGGAGTGAGGTCACGATAGCTCAAGCGGTAGAGCAGCAGCGTATCTAGCCGAAAATCGTGGGTTCGAATCCCGCTCGTGACACTGACTTTTTTATCTAAAAAAAACCTTAATTATGGAATTAAAATGATCAGATACACTCGAACTATAGAAAAATTAATGGATTTGAAGCATGAGATGAGCAGGGCGTTCTGTGTTGTCTGATCGAACATAAAAGGAATTTTATCGTGTATTAAAATTAACACAAACTACTCTTCTTTAATAGATCTTTTTCTGTTTCAGGAAAAACATGACCCTCCTCGATCAGTTCCACAGGAGGATAACGAAACACTATCTCTACCCTGAAAAGGACCCTATTGTACCCAAGCTCCTTGTCCAAATGGCGACCGCCCCCATCGTCCACGTCAGTGAGTAAAATCCATGTTATCTCATCATAAATTTATCAAATGAATACATAAGACTATGCGTATGTGGTCCTATCTATTCTTATTACAAGCAGACCTATGCATCTCTGTCTTAAAATTAAGCCCAGAGATAAGGAATATTATTTTTCATATCAGATATTTTTACGAGGATTAAAGATTCTTTTACAGCAAAAGCATAGAATGATCGATAAGCTGTCCAAATAAATACATAACACTAGTTTTTATATTTCACCGCGTACGAAGATTTTACGTAATTATTATTTATTTTCTGTTTGAAACTTATTCAATCTGTGGTAATTATTTTAATCAATAATTATATTTTTACACGCTGAATTATTTTCGAACGTGTTCACTTCCGTGACTACTCTTGTTATCACAGTCGAAAGATTCACACCACCGGATTATTTGGTAAATTAACTCGGTCCGAGCCGGTCTCGTAAATTTGAACATTGCGCCAGACGGATGAAATCGTTTTTGTAAATGAAAGTGGAAAATTAACAACTGTTTCTGAGGTGATCGACTCATGTACTCTTTGATTACTTTCACCCGCTTGAGTTGCGGTGTTCAATCTGGGAAAAATAACGAATTGGACAACACGTAGGCTTACACGACATGTGTATTCACAATGTCAATGCGGTGGAAACTTTATTTTATAAAAACTATTCGTTTTGCTCGTTCAATGTTTTAATATACTGGCATTTTTTACAGCTTCAATACACCAATAAACATACATTTCATTTCGTTTTAAATACAATTATTATATCATATATTTATGTGATATAAGGTGTAGGTATTTTTATGATTTATAATTTGATTTTTCACCAAACTTGAATTTAAAAAATTATAATTTCACTTTCGTTCGAATTAAGCTCTTATATTTGAATAAGCCTCTCACATGTCTTTCCCTTCGACTTTATCATAGGTATTCGACTTTTTTTTAGCTGAACTGTGTGAAAATCTACTGTAAAAGTGTGATCATATCATAGACTTTCTGGTACCGTTAGTAGAAAAAGCTAACAGTGTTATCTATCTACACTTGCTTTTCTATTCTGTTGTCAAAAGATCTTCAATGAGATCTGTACAGTCTTGCCATGTATGAAGCTTCTTTTTTTATAGATTCCTGCGATGCCTTCACTTTTTTTTTACTTTTACATTATTTTTATTTTAAAAATATGTACATCATTCTGCCATCTGTTTTTATTTTTTTTTAGTATTTTGCTTATCATTAGAAAACTGGAAAACCAGTTTTCTACTATTGAAATTCTTCTATTTAGTTCTTTCTAGTGTGTCTTGGAACCAAGCTGATTTCATTTCATAAAAAGTTTTATAAACTTGATCTCATAAATATTATATTGTGACGTAGGTTTTAAAAAACATTTTCTTTATCGTGCCACCGTTTCGATCTTTATTGAGATCATCTTCAGGGCCTGGGATTTATAGACATTGTTTAAATTTTACAAATACATGTAGGATGTGAAAAAAATATGAATTTAAATTCTGAAAAATTTTAGATTAAAAAATTAATTTAAACAATGCTAACAAATTTTAGATTAAAAAAATGAATTTTTACAATGCTAGAAAATTTTATTTTTTTATTTAGTTTTTTTTTTTGTTACATGAACCCGTCGGATTCGAATGCAGGGCCGCTGGATTCGAACCCTTGACCTTTACCTTACAGTGATGAGCGCAGTATTAAAAAAAATATTTTAATCTAAAATTTTCTAGCAATGTATACATTTATTTTTTTAAATCTAAAATTTTCTAGCATTGTATAAATTCTTTTTTTTTCTAGCAAGCAAAAAATTCGTTTTTTTATCTAAAATTTTCTAACACTGTATAAATTCTTTTTTTGTAATCTAAAATTTTCTAGCATTGCATAAATTCTCTTTTGTTTTTGTTTTTAATCTAAAATTTTCTAGCATTGTATAAATTATTTTCTTTTTTCTAATCTAAAATTTTCTAGCATTGCATAAATTCATTTTTTTAATCTAAAATTTTCTAGCATTGTATAAATTCATTTTTTTAATCTAACATTTTCTAGCATTGTATAAATTCAATCATGCCAACGTTTCGATCTTTATTGAGATCATCTTCAGGGCTCAAAGTGTTTGTTTTCTGTGTAGATGTGTCCTTCTTGTGTACCGAGTTGACAGTGCCAGGAGATATTGCTCTCAACACGACCCCAATAATGACACATCTACACGGAAAACAAACACTTTGAGCCCTGAAGATGATCTCAATAAAGATCGAAACTTTGACACGGTAAAGACAATATTTTTCTAAAACCTACGTCACACCAGACCGCATCTCACGGTCTCCAAATAATCATTAACTAACGGTCACTAATCACCATCCATTATTATGTCATGTAAACAGTCAGCATCTACATCCTTCTAATCGCGCAGTCGAAGGCACAAGGGAGCACAGAGTCAATAAGAATCCAATCTCTCTTAAGACTATGTCATCAAACAAAACAAATTCATGTTTTGATCCGAGCAACCCTAAACAAAAAGAAATGTTTTGCCTAAACCATATTCCGATTATAAACTACTCAAAAATGAATAGGGATATTGCCCGTTTTGTATTAATTACTTTCCCGACCATTTTTATTTCATTTTTATTATAAATTACATTAAACCATACTAGACATTATTATGTTTTTCTGAAAGGAAAATTTAATTAAGGAATTATGAAAAATAACAAAATAAAAGATTTTAATTCCATAATTTTGTTCATTGGACATATACTATTTTTAAACAATTAATACCGTGTATAATGTCCTCTGTGAGCTATACCCTCTGTGCACCTGTTAGGCATTAGGCATTATTTGGAGATCGGGAGATGCGATCTTATGTGATGTAGGTTTAGAAAAACATTTTCTTTATTGTGCCAACGTTTCGATCTTTTTATTTAGATCATCTTCAGTGCTCAAAGTATGTGTTTTCTGTGTAGATGTGTCACGGTTGTGTGTCGTGTTGTATGTAAATACTAATTATTACACACTGTTAATAAGGTTGTCACTAATTTCATAAGGAATTCCACTCCATAGATATTGCAATGCTGCATTGCAGGTCAAATGGCTGCGGATGGTGATCGAAAAGCCGTCTTTGCAACGCATCCCACATATCCTCGATGGGATTGAGGTCTGGAAACAATGGTGGAAAGGGCCGTTGGGAAATTCCCAGGTTTATAAACATCGCTGAAAACTCTGCCTCTATGAGGTCTGTAACCCAGAAATTGAAAATCCTCGCCAATCAGATCCCGGGTTTGAGGGACGTATTCATCGATAATGTATTACACATAACGGATTGCGGTTTAGGTTGCCTTCAACAATATGGAGTCCAGTTAGTCCTCCAGTGTAAATCCCAGCTCAGACCGTTACATCGCCTCTTCCTTATGTTCTGGAGGGAGCAAGAACTGGGGCATTGTAAGCATCCCCTGTTCTCGGTAGAATCTTCGGACGGAAACGCGACTCATCAGAACTGCATTCCAATTGGTGTTCTCTTCTAGGCGCTCGCTGCAACTAATTCTCCTGAGTTGCTGGTGGCGAGTTGTTGCTGGAGGTCTTCTCACAGGGGCATGCAATGTGGGCCTACTTGCCACAAAGATTACGAATCGTACGATAAAATGCCAAAACAGCTTGTACCTTCATTCACGATCTGGCGGGTACTATGGAAAAGGTTCCGTCTTGCAGCTATAACAATATTTCAGTTTATTTTACTTAAGAAATCATCTTATCTACAAATACACCCAAGAAAAATTCTTGAATTGCCTCGCTTTAAAATATCTAACATCATTCCAGTCTGTTTTCGTTTAAATTTTCTTGAGAAGTGGAAGTAAGAGCGTCGACGTACCACAAAGGACACGAAATTCTTTCTCCCATTGAGGGCGAGAGGGAATGCGATTATAGACCACTTCCGAATGGTGGTGTAAACTTTCAGTAAAACCGATTAGCCCCGTGGAAGGGTTGGTTTATTGGGAAAGAATTAAACGTTTTGAAAGGTGTTCTTTGACGTCGCTCCTAGACCCCGGGCTTTTGAAACTGGAAGACCTGGCTTTTAACAAAAGGGGTATCGGGTTCAATAATTTCGTTAAGATCACTTTCAGCCCGCCTGATTGTTAATTTCGGGCCGCATCGCGCCCCGAGCCGTCTCTTATTGTATCACGATGGAACAGCATAGGCCCAAAATCTATTAGCTCGGAGGGATAAACAGCTCACTATGGCATTCATTAATAGAGAATGAAAATTCCTTTCAAGAAAGACGAGCGAAGAAAACTGTTACTTTTTCAATTTATTTTCACTCAAGTGTCAAGCCCTGTCCTTTAATAATAAATGAAGCTTGATCAAAATTGTGGAAACAATTTGAACTGTCACAAGTGCGAAATTGAATTTAATATTGTAATTACATTTTCCTTTTATTTATCCGCCTTTTCAACTAGTTCATAAATAGTAAATAAGGTATATTTTCGAATCCACCTATTATAGGGAAAAAAATTGACACATGCTCCGGTTTTATGGCTAGAAGCAGTGACGTGCGCGTAATAAGCTCAGGGCGGTGAGGGCAGCTGCTGAGTATCTAAATAAGAAATGAAATATCGCAGTAACCTTTTGTTTACGGCTGACGTGGCATTCCATGCATCCTCGTCCTCATTACCATGTCATTCGAAAGGATATCATTATTCCAGGCGAAAATAAGATGTCACCACTCCATGCCCCGTTAAATTACGATGCTCGCATAGGTGTCAAAGCGATGATATTAGACACGGCAAGAACATTATTTAAAATAACACTCAGTGAAACATCTGAAATGATGGATAAACATGGAATTTACTTTCACACGAATATAACATAAATATTATTGTGAAATATGTGTTTGTCTTATTGAGTAATAAATATTTCTATCACTCATTCCCTTTATAGACAAAATTTCCGGTATTTCAAGGTCACCGTTATATTTAATCTTTCAAATCGCGATGACGCTATTTCAAGACCTTTTGCATAGGGGATGTTAAAGATAAATTTCCTGAGTTCCAAGTAGTTCATTAGCCATATCTTGCAAGCTTTAAACAAAGGCGCCGTTCACGGATATTATGAATTTTCTCTTGATTGCTGACTATAGTTTGGGAAATGCTGAAGGCCTGACAGTTGTCGAAGCTCTTACGTACAAAGTAAAAGTTAGTGCCACGAGCGGGATTCGAACCCACGATCTTCGGCTAGATATGCCGCTGCTCTATCACTTGAGCTATCGTGGCCTCGATCCTCTCGGACACTAACTTCCCATCTCAACCCCACCTTTTGAATTTTCCCTCCTTTTTGCCACTTTTCAAATGTCGTGTAATCTATTTGATTCTCGGCGACAAAGGTTGGTTGTTCACGGATTTGGACGAGACCTTTTTCGATGATTTGACACTCCAAAATATCGGGGGCACGTACATGCCACTTGTGAATAGGCAAAAAAAAATTTAAAGTTGAAATTTTTCGTTTTTATAATATTTGTATTTCGCATTTCTACTTGCTCAATCAACTATGTGAATATATCATTTTACAGCATTATTCATTTTTTTTAATTCGTTTTTAATTAAGCCTACATCATATATTAATAACTTAAGATGGTTTCGATTGTAATAAGTTTTTAACTCTAGACACGGTTATGCTATGATATAACAATGGCAAGTCAATTTTTTTTTATGGAGTTCGGTCAGTGCGTACGGCGGCGATACCGACCATTACGGATAGTCTGTCAGTCGTGCGGGCTCAAGTCCTTAGCGCCGTGAAAAACGTAGCTCCGGACATACAAATAACGAGAATGAATAATATTATTAGGAAGATTTTGTATAACGTTAGCGTGAACGGTAACGCTAAATTGATTCAAGTGCGCATGCACAGATTTAAAGGAACGCTATTTTAAGTAAGGTCCTACGCTATTTGCCTTACATGGGTACGTAATTTGGTATGATTTAAAAAGATAAATAAACAAAATACTGTTTTTTTTTGCATATTTTAACAAACATTCTGTAAGTAGAGTAGGTCAGAAAATGGCCAAAACTTGGATTTGATCTCATTTACGTGATTCTAGCGTTATAAAACTCTTAGATACCAACTTTCGCGGAAATCGGTGTAAATTAATTTTTTTTACTGATAATTTCGACGATCCGACTAACATTCTGTCGGATGTAAGAAAGGCTTTTGAAGAAAGAAAACACAGGCTTTTATGAATCCAGTTTTTTATATCTAATCACTGAATACATTCACGATAGTAATCGCTAATCCTGAATCCTGATTACACGACATTTGAAAATGGCAAAAAGGAAGGAAAATTCGAAAGATTGTAGGTGGAGATGGGGAGTTGGTGCTCGAGAGGATCGAAGTCAACTCAAGTCCGAGAGCAGCGGCATATTTCGCCGAAGGTCGTGGGTTCGAATCCTGCTCGTGACACTGACATTTTTATCTCAGCAAAAACCTTAACCTTAAAAGAAAAACAAGATTAATTAATTGGAAGATATAATTATAATGTTTTAAATTACAAGTGGGCTAACAAACTCTCGTGAACTTCAATTAAGATCAAACTAAATAAAATGGAATTATTACAATACAAACAAAGAAATTCCTGGAAACAGTAATAAGCTTCAGATTTTTTTTAAATTGTGAAAAATCTAAATGTAATGTAAACACGGACGAAAAGTCAAAACAATAAAAATATTTATAGTATAAATTCTGGGCCGTATATATGCTTTTGACGTATGGCCTTATAGCGATTGATCAAAAGAGGAAGAGTGATAAAACTGATCATAGCGAACATTGTCGTCAAGCATTAGCTTAGAATTCAAAAAACAAACTTAGCGTCAGACGGCTTAAACTACTGATAAATCCGGGTCTTCCCTATTCGGTCAGCTTACCATCCGTTCATCCGTTGAAGTATTAACCAGCTGGCAGACAAATTGACTCTTCTAATATAAATATTCAAAATCAGATCATAAATTATATTTCATCGTTTAATAAACATATATTTTATTTTGGTTTAATTTGATTAATTAAATCGATTTTGAAGAAGTGTCTACCGGGAGATTTTTTTGCGAATTTGACTCTGTATTTATTTCAAAGGTAACAACACAAATAATAAAATAATTGCTCATATTTAGACCTTTAAAATAATTTTCTACTGTGTAAAGTCTAATGGGCATTTGATTGTACGAGAAAAGATCGTTGGAAAAAGGTGGCTTCGAACTGATAACGAAACGGGATATTTTTGAAAAACAACACCAATTAGAAGGGCGTCTGTTTGGTAAAATGAGACGGAATGGGCGTTAATCATAATCAAAGGTCGGCGGAGGATCGGAGAGTATATGTTTCGGTTAAACCAACTTTGAATCCTGGATTTATCGTCGGGTCGGATTTCCAATTCCTTTCCTTTTCTTTAATATCCAGTTAAATCATTTGTCACCGGAGCTTTCCAGCCCAGTCTGATTCACCGTTCCCGCCCGCCTCTGCACCCTTTATGAACGTGAGTAACAATTGTTTACAGGTCGATCCTTGGAATACTCTTCGATAAATTTTAGAATTACCTGAACCTAGGCCGGTGTTGGGATTAGAGAATTTTACCATATTATACGACAATCTTGTCTGCCGGAACAAATTAAACTACATGCAAATGTTGTTAGAATAGAAGTATGTATATATTACTTTTGTAGTGCTTTGCGGTTTTTTGTTTTCCGAATGTATAAAGAATATGTTCTGTCATTTTGATCTGAACTTACACTTTTGTAAGGTCATAATTAAATCATTACACTTGCCAATTTTATTTCATTTTTATGTATAATGTATGGTGTTTAGTGACCGTTAGCCAATCGGCTATTTGTTATTTGGAGATCGTGAGGTGCTGTCTGGTTTTTTTTTTTTTTTTTTTCATTTTCTTTATCATGCCAACCTTTTCGATCTTTATTGAGATCATCTTCAGGGCTCAATACAAATCGAATCGTTAGCATGATCTTTTTCTAAAACCTACGTCACACCAGAATCTTCAAATAATTTATGTATAATCCATCATTTGAGCACTTGGTGAATTTTTCTATTACTCTAGTAATAGGACCGTTACGACGGTAGATCTTTTACAAATTCTTTCTCTCCGCTTTTACTCTCGAAACCAGTAACTTTTTTTTCTATTTGCAGGCCAAAAGGAAGGCGGGACGCAGATCAAACTGGTAATCGATTACGAGAACAAAGACCAGGCTCTCTTCAAACCGATGAGGTAAGCTCCGGTGACTTTCAGAGCAAAAATCTTGTTTTAAAAGCGCTCGAAATGAAATGGGATTAGGCCCTTCCGGCGGGGGCAAGACGATTGTTGTTGTTGCTACCCTTTGTGGCCGGTGAGGCCGATTGATTTAAAGAGGTCGGCGATCCTTTGTTGGATCTTCACAAGAAAACTCTTTCACGGAAATCCTCGTCCGTCTGGCCAACGCTGCCAATAAAACGGACTTTAATGAATCACATCCGTTCCCAATAAAAAAAAAAGAAAACAGAAAACACTGGAACCCCGAGGGTTGATTTGGCCAACCCCAAGCTATTATTTATTTTCATTGCAATCTACATTAAAAATGCTTTAAAATTATGAATTCTCTTATTTTGGATTTAAGCAAGTAGAATTGCAAAATAAAAATATTAAAAAACGGAAAATTTCAACATTCTAATTTTTTTTGCGAAAGTAGCCTAGAATCAAAAATAGTTTGGTTCAAATCCGTGACACAACCACCTCGTTGTTTCCTTTTTAGATATTTTTTACTTAAGCTTTCTTTCAATGACATGTTGCATTGGACGATGTGACGCTTTCTTGATTTCATGTCCTATTTTTTGACATATAGATCAAAATGTATTAGCATATAAACAAATATCGGATTGCAACAAATCGTATTAATTCCGTCATGTCATACGAAAATAAATAATATGTTAGACTTTAAAGCATTATAAAAGAGAAATTATATTATAATATTATTGTCATAGGACTTCGTAATAGTATCGCAATATGACGTTTATTTTACTTATATTTAAGTCTCATATGCATGCTCCCTCCTAGTTTTTTCAACAACTCTTCAGTTTAAATCATTCACAATTATTTTGATATGATAAATATCAGTCAGATTAATGTTTTTGTTTTCCTTAATTGTGATGTCTTAATAGTTGACTGCCTTTGAAAATAATAGAATATAATTAATTACATGAATTAATAAATCTTTTTGTGTAAGGTTTTGGTTGAAATGAAAAAGTTAGTGTGCGGGATTCCAACCCATGACCACTTGAGCCATTGTGACTTCGATCCTCTCGTGACACTAACTTTTTCATCCCCACCAAGACCTTACTTGAAAAGAATAATTAATTGAAATAATAATTTGGCCAATTAGACCACTAAACATGAATGGATTAATAATAAGTAAATTTAAAAAGTAAAAGAAGTATCACTTCACTAACCACGTGGGCGCTTCATAAGTCGCTGAGAATCGAATCCTGATTACATGACATTTGAAAATATGGTAAAAAATAGAAAATTCGATAGGTTGTAGGCGTGAGAGTTGGTGTCCGAGATCGTGGGTTCGAATCCCCCTGGTGACACTAACTTTTTCATTTCGACCAAAACCTTACAGAAAAAGATTAATTCATTGAAAATAGAAATATAATTAATTGTATTCTATTACTTTCAAAGGCAGTTAACTATTAAAGGCATAAAAAATCATAGATTATGCCCACGGGCCGATCCGATTTTCACATACAAAATGCTTTATACTTAATTTTTTAAGCTACAAACGCAATATACAAGCTTTTATGCACATAACAATATCAATATCAAAAATGTACAAGTTTCTATTTGTTCTGCCTGGTAAGGTTACCAGTACGTGCAAGAAACATGAAGAGCATCCCTTAAACTTGTGGTCAATCCCCGTACACCGGTTTCTCTGAATTATTGGAAAGCATAAAATGATGATGATGACTAATCTAGTTAGTGCGAGGCGATGAGGTAAAGGCCGCGTGAATTCTGTATGACTCTGATTAGCGCGTACCCGCCGACGTGCCTTCCCTTCGTTAGCTTCTCCCTTCACTTATTTATGTACATAATAAACTTATATCCTGACCACAACTCCGATATTCAAAATTGTATTTATCCTACTGTTGGGCTGTCCGGAAAATAATGTAGGTTTATGGTTATAAAATAAAAACAATTAATTATTAATTAAAACACCCTCCATCACTCTCAATACACTTCTGCAGACGTGATGGCAACTCTCTATACACTCTGAATAGTGTTTTGAGTCTTTATTATTAAAAAAAATGTGTAAACGAATTTTCTAACGATTTTTGATCAATAATGGTTTTATGTTGTAAAACGTCTGAAAAACGGTATTCGGTAGGCGAGAGGTCTGTAAACCAACAGTTTTCGTGAGACTCTTGTGGAACATGGGACGGAACCGGTGGACCGGTTGTATGGAAGAAGATTGAAAATTGTTGACATTCGTACAAAAGAATAATTTATCAAACATAAAAAATTTATTATATAGAGGGGTAACTGAAAGAAAACATGAAAACATGCATTATTTACCGGCCGACCTCATCAAATACTATGATGACTATTGTTAATGAAAGGTGCCAATCAGCACGTTATTAAAAAAAACTCGATACTAAAGCGGAAACTGATGTGTTTATGATTAGTTTGAAAGAGGGGCATTTGACGTGCTATTTGATTTCAATAGATGACCAAAAGTATTCCATAACAATTCTGAAACAAAAATATGTTTTGGGACAGAGAAAGAAATTTTAGACATACGATATTGTCCAAAGAGGAAGACAACCAGATTTACTCGGCTTATGCTAAGAGTGGGCAGGAAAATCAAGGAGCCAAGAGGAAAAGCCCATTTACTAGCGGTGGAGTCATCGCCATGCCGCCATATGAAATATATATTCTCAAAAACTCAAATCGGTGGATTGTTATAAAAGCTGGATCAATGGAAAAAAGCTGTTTTTTTTAAAGCTTAATTACCTGTTACATAGAACCGATTAAGGCTGGCTTAAAAATACAGCCCGGCAGTGGAAAGGCGGATTTTCTCTCGCGGCCAAGTGTTTGTATACATTCATATCTACAAAAAATTAAACTAGTTTTCTTCCTGGAAAACCAAACAGTTACCAACAAGAGAATTTTTCACGATTTACCCCTTTTCCTATCATTTAGTTGTAGATTATTTCAACTAATTATTCTTTTTATATAAGATCTTGGTTGAGATGAAAAAGTATGTGTCGCGAGCGGGATTCGAACCAACGACCTTCGGATCAATACGCCGCTGCTCTAACCACTTGATCACGATGAAACGATGAAGTCACGCTAGCTGAAGTTGTTCGAGCAGCGGCATATTCAGCCGAAAGTCGTGGGTTTGAATCTCGCTCGTGGCTCTAACCTTTTCAACTCAACCAAGACCTTACATAAAAAGAATAATTAATTGAGATAAAATTTTATTACTGATTTCAATTGATACGAAGTGCAAACACATAAGTAAAAAAATACATTGTTTTGTTGTTAAAATCAGGCTTTATTCAATATCAAATGGGTAAATATTGGTCATTAAACGGACATCGAAAATATGTACTGCCTGACACGAAGGATTATTGGAGGTGCTGTAAAACGAGAATCAAACGGGGAAACCACCTAAACTCCATGCATCTATGAACTTGAACCTGCCAAATTAACACGTAATTGCTCACTTGATTATAGCAGCTATGCTTTGTAAAACGTATTCAATGATTATGAATTCCGTTTTTCATACCCGGTGGGAAGGGGTTGAAACTGAGCCCTCGCCGAGGGGAATTTTGCATTAAATTATGTAATTCAATAAACATTTAATTTTTATTTTAACTATGTAATTAATTTGCCTATATTTCTTTATTTGTCTGTTTTTTTATAAAGTTTAAAAAGTCACGAAACGGACTGGACGACTTTATACTTGATGGTGTCTTTTATATGCTCAAATCTGTACATGCTTGTACTTATATATCGTGTAGAGAGTTGAGTCTCTCACTTCTCGCAATCAACCAACAATTCCAGTTTTTGTAATTTACAATAAATTACCGGCAACCTGAACCCACCCCGGGTGGTGGCAGCCTGGGGTCAGAATTCGGTCTTATCCGTCCAGCAATCGAGATTGTGCTCCGGGTCAACAGCTAGGTCAATTCAGCATCCAAAGCTGGCGGTTCCTAGATCCAAACCCATTCATATTTTCCCTCATTCTTAAAGATATACTTTCATATTTACATATCATACACTCAGTATGGAGAATATTCGGCGATATTCCCCAATCACCCTACATTTAACGTATGTAATTAAGAGTCGATGGGGTACACAATAATACCCTCACCACTCTTATACTACACATTCATGCCAATAAATATATCACTCTGAACACAGCTAGGTTCACAAAGCTATCAGTACTCATAAAACAACTGTATCCTCCGAAAATCGGAATAGTAGACCCAGATACACGCATTAGTGACGTGCGATACCAGAAAATATTCAGACCAGTATTCGATACTGGTATCCAAAGAAATTATTCGATACTACTCAAGTATCGACATAAATTATTCGATACTAACGAGTACTTACACATATGATTAGTTTTTCGTTTATTCATAAATGGCCAACTTACTATTGTGGACTTTGGTTAAAATACGCTCATGCGTTAAAACAATCAAGACATTACAGTTTTTTTTTCATTTTCAAGTATTTTTCCATACCGTGGGTATGTAGGCAGGAACAAGGAAAGGCTGCCAACACATTTCAACATAATTGATATGTCAATTTTATTGTTATAGAGTTTTGAGAAAAGTGATCAACGTGTATTTGGTTTTCAAATATTTGAAAAGATAAGATGTATTCCCACTGTATTCCCCAGAGCTTACAAGATGCCGACGATTAGTTTTCTTAGTAAAATAACTTCATGCCTTACTTTTGGGAGGAGACATGGTATCTACCTACGAGAAGGAAGGCGAACACCATTTAGGGACTTGAAGACAAAAACATTTTACAAGAAATTACTGAAATTGAAAATGCGAGGTGCGACGCGGGAAAGAATTATGAGTTACCAAAATCATCAACACTTCCCAACCACCAGGTGCTCTTAAAACTAGCCAATTCCCAGTTACACACGGACATCTGGGTCAAAACCCGCGCAGGTGTTTCGCTTGTAGAGAAAGGTTGCTCAGTGTGTCTCATCTTGTCGAGGAGTGCT